CAAAAATTTTTTAAGTTGAAAATTTCAACTTTAAAAAAAAGTGATGTTCGATGAACGAACTGTGTGCACTTTCCAGTTGCTGTGTATGCCGGAAAACCATCCGACAGCCGAAAAGCTCCGGGAACTAACTTCGGAAGTTCAGCAAAAAATCATGAGCACATTGGAGAGCCGGAAAAAGGAAGAGGATGCTGTGCAGGAGGATGATTCATCATATTTTTTACCAATTGAATCAAATGTAGCTGCTCTAATGACCAACGATCGATCGGATGAAGTTTGAATCTTTTCCGTGATACTGACATTTGTTTCTTTTAATGAAACTTACTGATGATGAGTCTTCCTTCACCTTACATTCATTTCATAATAAATAGCTGAGCTTTTTTTTTCCCTCAGTTTTGGCCTGTTGAGAAACCGAGCGGCATTTTGTTCCCTTTTGTTGTAGCAGCAATTGTTTTTCTCATTGTTCTTTTGATTTATATCTGCTTTGGTTCTTGTTAATCATAAGTGAATTTTGTTAGTGGCCATGGAATTTTGCTAGTAGTAATGAATTTTGACTGACTGCACCAGTTTGTGGAGTCTTGAAATTAAAAAAATTTTTGTTCTAAAACTGAAAAAATTTTTTGAAGTTGGAAATTTTTTTTCCGGACCTGGCTTACCTCATTAAAAAGTTTAAAAAAGTGAAAAAATAGGCTTTATAGAAATGGATAGTTAAAAAAAAGAAAACTCATTGGAATGTGGTTTAATTCAAAACTCCCCATCAGTGATGACTTGGTGAGTTGTTATTACTAGCACTGGGGCCCTGGGATGAAGATCCCGGAGATACGAAAGATATCTGGTGACGAAGATCCCGGAAATACGAAAGATATCTGGTGACGAGAACAAGAAAAGGGGTTCATGAATAGACGAATTCAGTGCAGTAAGAGAGGGTTTTTATGCTTATATAATATCACTTTCACAGACATCGCCCGAGTAATCTTGGCATTCTTGGAATATATATATATGTTTAGGTTATGTAGGTAATAATGATGTGCCGGAAAATGGTAATTTGATAACTGTGCTGAAAAAAAAGAAGTGATTTTTGTGGAATAACTCTTCCTCTCTTTTCTCATTTCTCTCAATATTCTTCCTTGCCCACGTCACACTTTTTCTCTTCGCCAATAGTCTCGCGGCCACAGTAAATATGACGGATGAAATGCTAAAGTCGAGCTTTATCTGAGATTAATGCTGTTGCATTTTATACAGTATGAAAGTGCGCACTGTGATTTTTACTTCCCCTTGTTTACTGGCACTGAATGATGTTGTATGTGTGCTCTTTTGCATATGGTCAGTTATGAACAAATAAAGTTTCGCGCACTGGAAAAATACCATTGCTGTGAATACAAATTCCCATCGAAGGGAAATTACGGTTTTTCTGAATTATAAAACGATGAATGTGATTTTCAGGATGATGCAGCACTGACAACTTATCGAGAAAAAAAAACTGTTATGTTATGGAGTCACAATACGGCCGAGCGAACCTCTGCTGCGCGGAACTGTACAGCTAAGGGATGAGAAACAGACTGCATCCAAACACGTTTTCTTGCATATGATGCCTAGGCCGACCCCTTGTCAACCGTTTTTGCGACTAATTCGAACTGGAAGCATCGTTTTCGTTAAATTTTGCTAGCACAAGTCAAGGAAATAGGATTCGATTGCAGTACAGTTTGCCAGTTTCTTGCTAGGCGGCTTATAGAGGAACATTTTCCACTGTATTGTGCATTTTATGCTGCAGCAGTTGCACAAAACGATTACTGTTGAAATGTGTGTGTGTGTGCGTGTGTGTGTGTGCGTGTGTATGTGTGCGTGTGTATGTGTGTATGTGTGTGTGCGTGTGTGTGTATGTGTGTGTATGTGTGTGTGTGCGTGTGTGTGTGTGTACCCCTACTCTGTGTACCCTCCTCTTGTCCCATACTCTTTCGTTATTTCATTTGGCACATACCTCAGTCATATTTTTTTTTGCCTGAACTTTAAAACTGATAGGATGAGACGTAGATCAAAACTGACTGATTGGTATTTTCACATATTCTTGCGCATCACTTTTATGTAAAGGTAATGGACATAAATGCATGGGAGACTTGCATAATAGTTTATGCATATCTGTTTTGTGTGTGTTTGTGTGTCTGTGTATTTTATGTATGTATGCATATATATATGGGTGTTCTGTATGTACGTATTTGTATGTGTGTGTGTGTGTGTGTTCGAGTGCATATTTGTGTATATGTGTGTTTGTGTTCGTATTCTCGAATGTGTTTACATGTTTGTATGTGTGTGTATCTGTTTACATATTTGTGTGTGAATTTATTTGTGTTCGCCCGTGTGTCTATGTGTGTACGTGTGTGTGTATGTTGGTGTGTGTGCGTGTATGATGGTGTGTGTGTATGTGTATTTCCGTATGCATTTTGCTCGATGCCGAGTATTTCGCAAGGAACAACAAGAAGGTGTTTGTGAGCTGTTGCGTGTAGCCACTGACCAGCGGCTGGTCCTCGTGTCCATCCACCAATGCATTGTCGTTTAGGTGAATACTATGACGGTCAGGCGGAGTACTATACTACCTTGGATTCTGGGTTCCCCCCTCTGAGCTATTGGTTGAAGTGGCTGGCACGACGTTTTACCGCAACTGCTAAAACTCGACCCGCCAGTGCAATTTGCACTCGTTTTAAGGGTGAAAATGCACTCGCCTCTGGATTTAGATGAGAAATGCGAAAATATACATGTATGCACAGGATATTCTTGCTTACAGTAAAGTCCTGGAATGGGAAATTACAAAAGAGTCTGTGAATCTGTCACAGCCTCCCTTCCCTGCCTCGAATGAAATCCGCCACACACCATCCCCATTTCCACCTGCCACATTCAAACTGCCGCCATCCGCCCTGAGGCAGCTTCACCTGCCGTCGGGAGAAAAAATTTTTCGCGACTTGTGTATCAGACGAGCCGAGCCGAGTTTTTGTAAAACTCGACCCGCCGGTGCGATTTGCACTTGTTTTAGTGATGAAAATGCACTCGCTTATGGGTTTAGATGAGGAATGCGAAAATATACATGTACACGCTGGATATTTTTGTTTACAGCAATCTCCTGGGATGGGAAATTACAAAAGAACCCGTGAATCTGTTCTAGCCTCCCTTCCTTGTCTCGAACGAAACCCGCCACATACCACCCCCATCTGCCACCTACCACATTCAAACTGCCGCCATCCGCCCTCGGGAGGCCATACGTGCCGTCGGGAGAAAAAATTTTTTGCGGCTTGTGTATGAGACGAGCCGAGCCGAGTTTTTGCAATTG